GGGCTACCATTTTGACAGCAAAACCAGAGCACTTCAGTTGATGGGTATGGGTGATGTGGATAATGCGATGTTGAAAAGTGAGTGTCATTAAACCCTGGGTGACAATCGCAGCGTGTTTCGACAACACTAGTAAGAATTCTCAGCCATAAACTACGGAGCTGTGACACAGCACCATTAAAACCTCACTAACAGAAACATTTGCTGCAGTTAATGAGGTCCCTCCATCTACAATCAGGAAGAGACAGCTTTCCATGCATAATCAAGTCAGGATTCACACAGGTCAAAGTGTCTCTCTGTTAAGACAATGAAATCTGCTCAATTTTACAATGTTTTCCTTCTTTATTTTACTAAATGTACAATTTTACAATGATTGCCAGAAAAATGTCCTTATTACACTGGAAAAATGTGACAATTTTTACTAGAGCAGGCAGCTCATTGTTTTATCCAGCAGAGGAAGGGTTCTGTAAAATGTCATTCAGCCTTACGGAAAGCAAAAGCAGGTATATTAAAAATAACCCTGAGACTCATGGAGAAAAGTAGATGAGTAAAAAGTCACCAGCACTCCAGAAGATTTGTTTTCACAATTTGTGTGTTCCTTGTCACATTGGTCAAACTTCCACACCAGTGTTTCGGGGCAGGGTCTCCTTCATCAGGGTGACAAAGTGAATCATGGAAATAAAGGACGACCACACAGAATGCATTCCAAGTTTACTAGCAATCAATTATTTAGTTATGAAATAGCAGATGTAAAAGCAGCCTATTTACTCACTAAACATCCGGGATCATGTAGCCTGTCCATTAATAGAAACCAGTGACATCAGTGATAATAGAGCCTTTCCATTAATAGAGACCAGTGACATCCATTATAATAGAGCCTGCCCATTAATAGAGCTCAGTGATAATGGAGCCTGTCTATTCATAGAGACCAGTGACATCAGTGATCATGCAGCCTGTCCATTAATAGAAACCAGTGACATCAGTGATAATAGAGCCTTCCATTCCATTAATAGAGACCAGTGGACATCCGTGATCATGCAGCCTGTCCATTATAGAAACCAGTGATATCAGTGATCATGCAACCTGTCCATTAATAGAGACCAGTGACATCCGTGATAATAGAGCCTGCCCATTAATAGAGATCATTGATAATGGAGCCTGTCTATTCATAGAGACCAGTGACATCAGTGATCATGCAGCTTGTTCATTATAGAAACCAGTGACATCAGTGATCATGCAACCTGTCCATTAATAGAGATCAGTGACATCTGTGATAATAGAGCCTGCCCATTAATAGAGATCTGTGATAATAGAGCCTGCCCATTAATAGAGATCAGTGATAATGGAGCCCGTCTATTCATAGAGACCAGTGACATCAGTGATCATGCAACCTGTCCATTAATAGAGATCAGTGACATCTGTGATAATAGAGCCTGCCCATTAATAGAGATCAGTGATAATGGAGCCCGTCTATTCATAGAGACCAGTGACATCAGTTATCATGCAGCCTGTCCATTCACAGAGACCAGTGACATCAGTGATAATTGAGCCTGTCTATTCATAGAGACCAGCGACATTAGTGATAATGGAGCCTGTCCATTAATGTAGACCAGTGATATCAATAATCATGCAGCCTGTCCATTAATAGAGACGAGTGGCATCGGTGGTATTGCAGCCTGTCTATTCACAGAGACCAGTGACATCTGTGATCATGCAGCCTGTCTATTCATATAGACCAGTTACATCAGTGATATTGTAGCCTAACTATTCACAGAGACCAGTGACATCAGTGATAATGAAGCCTGTCCAATAATTGAGACCAGTGACATCAGTGATAATGGAACCTGTTCATTAATATAGAGCAGTGAAATCAGTTATAATGCAGCCTGTATATTCTAATATAGACCAGTGCCATCAGTTATAATGCAGCCTGTCAACTAATAGAGACCAGTGACATCAATGAAAATGTAATCTACCTAGTCACTTAAGCAAATCATACACCAGTACATTTTCGTAACATCATTTACTAGTGACATCATAGAGACCAGTGACATGCAGCCTGTGTATTCATAGAGACCAGTTACATCCATGATAATGCAGTCTGTCTCTATTCACAGAGATCAGTGACAGGAATGAAAATGCGATCTACCTAGTCGATTAAGCAGACCATACACTAGTAGATTTTCGTACAAACATTGATATAAAAATTCTCAGTGCATTCGATGACATCAAATAAAATATATATCTGAAATGTGCTCAGCCAAAAATTATATATAGCCAAAAGTGTCTCATGCAGCTGCAAACACCAAACGTGTGTTCCTCACATCAAGCAAAGAAAATAAATTAAAAAAGGTGTTGCGCTGCTAAATTATACAACAAATGAATTCTATAAACAAATAAACTAATTAAATAGATGAGATTCTTATACCAATTCTTGTACAAATTATAATCCCCTTATCCTTTTAAAACATAATACAATTCATGTGCGAATTGTAAACCACTATCCCTTTTAAGTATATGAGCAATAAAGTCTTTCAACCACATATATATAAATTGTTCCAAAAAATGTCAAATCTCCTTGATATAGATCTAAGTGCACTCCTGTTAGTGAATTACTCCTGCAGTCCCAGTGCTGCTTCCAATCTAGTGTGCATCACCACAAGTGAGGAATAAGTGGAATCTCACCTTAATGCCTTGACATACAAATTATACTAGGTCAAGGTGCACATTTGCTACTCTTTCTCCCTGGGTAGGTTCAGGTTCTCTCCCTCTCCAAATTCAACCTGGGTTCCCACAGTTCAGTACCGCTATTGTACTGTTCTGATCTAAATATGGACTCAGAACCATAGAAAGGCCACCATAGTGTCGTAATTTAAAATCTTCAAGATATTTATTAGAATTGCACTCACATAGAAAACTATATTCATTCACAAAAGGTACAGCTCACAGCTTAACTAAGTCACGTGACCCCTGCTGAAGTCCCGTGCCTTAGTAACGATACGTGTGGGGAGGAGCCAGATGACAGGAGCCGAACGTCGGCGGTGAGCGGACGCTGAATATGAGCTGTGAGCTTTAGCCTATCCATTCACTATGGACCAATGTCATCACTGAGGATGTAGCCTATCCATTCTGTAGGGACTAGTGACATAATTGAGGAAGTAACCTATCCATTCACTAGGGACCAGTGACATCATTGAGGAAGTAGCCTATCTATTCACTAGGGACCAGTGACATCATTGAGGAAGTAGGCTATCAATTCACTAGAGACCAGTGACATCATTGAGGAGGTAACCTATCCATTCACTAGGGTCCAGTAAGAGCACTGAAGAAGTAGCCTATCCATTCACTGGGGTCCAGTGATATCACTGAAGAAGCAACCTATCTGTTCATTAGGGAGCAGTGACCCCAATGAGGAAGTATCCTATCTATTCATTGGAGACCTTGGGAACCTACGATATCACTGAGAATGCACCCCATTCCTTCATTAGATAACGGAGACATCATTGGGAATAAAGTGTACTAGAGGTCAGAACTAACTAATGGAATGCAGCCTATCCATAAAGACCTGTTACATACAGACAAGGGAAATGACTGAGAATACAGTTTATTAATTTATTAGATACTTGTGACACTAGAGAATACAGCATATCCATTCCCTACTAGATACTTGTGACATCACTAAGAATACAGTGAATGTACAATATATATGTAAAGCGCTGCGTAAAATGATGGTGTTATATAAGTACCTAAAATAAATAAAATACAGTCTATCACTTCCTCTAGAAACCAGTTACATCACTGAGAATGTAGCCTATCCATTCACTAGAGACCAGTGACATCACTAAGAATACAGCCTATTAATTCACTAAGATACTTGTATATTTGTGACATCAATGATATTATAGCCTAGCCTTTCGCTACAGACCAATAACATTACTGAGACTATAGCCTGTCCATTGAATAAATACCAGTGACATAAATGAATATACAGTTTATCCAATGACATTGATATGTTGCCTGCAGCATGATTTTATTTTTTAATTTCACATAATATAGCTTAAGTTTTCTCTATTATCATATAGTAATTTAATTCTACTTTTATATAATTAAAACTGCCTGACGAAGTAGTTAAATGAAAATAATAACAACAATTTAAAAGACTTTTAAGAACTAGCTGGAATTTTGATTGAAATATATATATATTGCCTCAATTAGAAATCTGGAACATTTCTCTACCGTCTAATGGTAATTATGTCTGTAAAAGGGAAAAAAAAGTACCTTCTGTAAAAGAAAAAAAAAAAAGAAAAAAACCCACAAAGCTCTGTTACTTAAGTGCTGCTTTTTAGCAACATTTAAAGGCTTGTAGCTTGTCATGTGTGAGCATGTAAAATTAATTTTCTTTTTTATCTCGCCTGGAAAGAAAAAAACTCCCAATAATACAAAGGACTGGGGTGGGGGGGATCTCGAGTGTTTATAGTTATTAACATTTAATAAAAACATTCAATGCAAGAAAGTGGAAAATGGATTTTATTTGTGAAACTGGATTTTTTTTGGTTTAATGTGCTTTCATAGGGCAAATTAACCCTGTCACTTTCAGAAATTTTAACCATAGCGGAAACTGACAGTATTTTTTTTTTTGGCAGCTGTTGGGTTAACATAATTTTCTTGGGATAATAACAGTGTTTCTTAAGTGCCAATCCTACTGATTTCTTGGAAAACCAGCGAACCTTAAATGTGGCAATCAGTCTTCCTCTTCCCCCAATACCCCCCCCCCCCCCCCCCAAGATTTCTCACCACCCCCTCCCTTTTATTTTTACATGGATTAAGTGTGATACAGTTACATCTCTTCTCAATATGCTTTTGTGTTTATTTTTTAGATTAAAAAAAAAAAGAGGAGTGTTTTACCGAGGGGGGAGATAAAGATGACATGTTCGTCTCTCATTGGGGTGGGAAGATAGCGAAGATGTTCATACGAAAATAAAAATCTGGACTGCACGGCGACGATGGCGTACACCCACTCGCACATCATGGCATCAAGACGACATCCGCCTAGTAGAGTCATAATCGAACTGGATGAGTACAGCTCAAACCCGACACAGGCATTCACATTCTATAATATTAACCAAGGACGTTTTCAACCACCACATGTGCAAATGTAAGTAAAAAAAACTGCTTGGGTTCAGTTCACCTTTAACCCATTTGTATTTTCTTTAGTTTTAATTTAGGCAATGGTCAAAAATAACAAAAAGTGCATTAAATACACACAAACATAAACTCAACGTACAAACACACATATATATGCAATCACTTTATTTAAAAGTATACATTTGAACTGTACAACTTTTTTGGAGAAGCATTAAAAAAAGTTTAGACCATTGGCTTACTATTACTGTAATTGTTAGAGCAAATGCCCTGTACGTGCAGCTTTTCCGAAATGTAATTTGCACATGAATTACGTTTTTCAAGGGTGTCATTCCAAACTTTCTTCATAAATAAAATGTAGAAAAGATAATAGTAGGTCAAGAGTGGGTTCAGATATTAAAAATTGATTGGAAAAAAAATGTATGCTATGTTTCAAAAAGGAAAGAATTTTTGGTGTTAACATACATTACTTGACAATAGAAAGATATTTATTCAGTCAGTTATGAATATTTTTATGCATATCTTATATATTTTTATGAATATTTTAAAAATAATAGGCGATAGCTAGTAACTATTCAAATACTTGAGTTTCATATCTTTTAAATTAAAAAAATAATTTTTGCTTTGTTTTACATGGTTGTCTTTTGTGTGGCATACCTTGTTGTTTTTGTGGATTACTGCATGTGTTGCTATTAATTTGAAAAGGAAATGTGATTACATTCAAAAGACTTAATTGTACTTAATATCACCACGATCTTGGAAATATAGCATAACTATAAGCTCTTCTTCAGAAAAAAAATGGTAGAAAAAAAACTGGTTTTTAATTGAACCATATGGAATAATAATTTAGAGAGAAATAAATGTGTGAATTACTGTTTATTTTCAGAGAGATTATGAAAGAAACTCATACTTTATGTTTACCACATCTCCCTATTTTATATTCATCATCTGTACAACTCTAATTTTTCCAAACCTGTGAGGCAGCAAAATGTGAATATGTAAAAATATTGTCTGACAAACTAACAAATTATTTTTATGGTGGTTTTGGACAATGTTTATTAGGAGCCATAAAAATGTCTGAAAGCACCAGTGATAAATAAGAAGCAGGAGTTATGTTTGTCTTGTAAGATAAAAAGCTAGAAGATGGTGTATATAAATACCAAATGAAAACAGTGAATTATATTAAAATGATATATGTACACTGGATACTGTTTATTTCTCTAAAGAAAGAGATAAATATATTAGCAAGCCATACATATATGGTTACAGTTAGCTTTTAGGTTTCCCTGTATTAAGAAAACCAAGGAAGAATGTGTATCTTGGGTAAGGTGTTTGGAAATGGGTCGGGGGGGGGGGGGGGGGGGTTAAAGGGTGTAAAAAAAATTACTACTTTTACTAAATTACAGTACCTACTGAAAAAAAGGTATTGTCTTGCTTTATCTTTGCACTATCAAGTATTTCTTCAGTTTTTTCAGGAATAACCCGAACATTACTGCATGAATGTAACTCTTACTTTTCAACAAAAAAAAAGATGACATCAATTTTATAAGCTTTTATATAACTGTAAGCTGACTACTGTACATAAAAGTCTTCAAATCTATTGAACATTGTGTTCTATTGTACATTGAACATTGTACTTTATTGTATACATTTCATGAGGCAAGCAGTGATTTCAAGGACCACTTAAATTTGTATTTTTAAATGTTTTTTTTTTAGAAATCAGAAAAAAAAACGTGCAAATGTTTTTTAAATGATAACGAGAAAGACTACAGTATTCACATTGGAATATTGAAAATACTGTCCGTTTTTCCATCCTTTCCTGAAATGCCAAAATTTTGTAGTATGTAGAAACAAAAATTGTTGCCCATTTCCGATGCAAAGTGGGATGCACTCTAGGCTACAGTATTAGGACTGCCAGTCAAGCAGGGGTCATTTAATCACAAAAAAAGTCCATGTAATTCATGTATTGTGTAGCTTTCCAGTGGCTAGATCAGCAGGGCTTTCACACTGCCTCTTAGTGGGAACTCATCCTCCTGACAGATAGGATGATAGGGGATGCAGTTAAACAGCTCATAATTACTTTCTAAAAGACCAAAAACATTTAAATGTAGTACAAAAAGGGTAGCACCAGGTGTGCATAAACAATATATAACACCCCCAAAAACATGAAGTTTTGGTGCTTTGATTTAGGCACTGGAACGACTTGGCGAAGGATATGGTATAAACTGCTGCAGGGCTAAGGTAAGTATTAGCCTATTAGTACAGGTGATACAGGGTTCATATATTCTATATTCACTTAAAGTGTTACTAAACCCACATCACTAAAATTAATCTGTATATGCAGGAAGACATGCTTGTTATAGCTTGTTATACTCACTGTGGAACCTAAGGGGTTAACCCTCCACATTGTGTAAAAAGACTGTTTAATCCTGTCTTCTGTGATCCTCTCCGTCTTCTTCTACTGTCCCCAATACATCTGCTGCACATGCTCAGTTTAGTGTGTATTGCTAGAGAGTCTTTGTTTCTTTGGGAGGGTGCATATGATTAGCACAGAGCCAATCAGTGCTGTCCAGATGAAGGGTTATTCAGTCTCATAGGACAGTCAGAGCAGAATGAAAACTCCTCCTACAAGCTATAACCAGTGCTCAGCTGGACACTGATAAAAGTCACAAGACTGCTCAATACTGCTGATGAGAAAAGGTATTTAGCCATTTATATTTACTAAAATAATTGCATTTCCATGTTGTGTGTACTGTGGGAGACCAGATACAGTGAATGCAGGGTCCAGGGTTTAGTAACACTTTAACTCATATTCTTCACTGTCACCTCATAGAGGGAATGATGAAAGTGTGTCTAGGACATTTAATGACCCCCTTATAGTGCCTCCTTATTCCTCTGGTGTTGAATCCACTGTGTTGGTGACCCCGGTCACCGTTCATGTAACAGTGCTTGGGAAAAGAGATTGGCTGCTAGGCATGGGCACTGTTCCAGACCAGCAAGTTTACAGGTTCAAAAAGCTGAAATCTGTTTCACCTACCTTACAAGTATGAAATTCTGAATTTAGGATTACCTACCCTGCACAATAACTGTCTGGAAAATAGATCAAGCTTTCTGCAGGTAGTATTTCTTTGAATAACAGTTACTCATTTGGACTGGACTGTAACTTTAACTATAGCAGAAAAAATTGCATTAATTGTATGAAATAATTAATTCATTATTAAAAAGACAGTAATCTCCATATTCAAGGCATATTCACAGGTAAACACAGGGGACATTACAAGTGTGTCCAGAAACCTCCTCCAATCTGAAATACACTATATAAGTGAAGCAGTCAACTGGCAATTTCCAGCAAGGCTGAAAATGTTTATTCTGTAAAGGAAATGTACAGTCCAGATCATTATAATTTATCCTATAATATTCATATCATGTACAAATATTTTAACTTGGAGATTTGGAGTCTTTGCATTTCAAACCCTGTACAATCCTCCAAAGATCTGGAATTAATTAGCACATTTTACAATATCTGTGTAAATCTGGATTTAGGGCAAGGTCATATACACCATATGGCCAAAAGTTTGTGGAAACCTGACTGTTACACCTATATGAGTTTGTTTGACATCCTAATCCAAAACTGTTGCCATTATTATAAAGTTGCCCCCCATCTTTTGGGCTATAACAGGCCTCACTCTTCTGGGAAGGCTTTCCACAAGATTTTGAAGTGTGAATGAGAAGACTTGGCTTACAATTATGAGTCCAGTTCATCTCAAAGTTGTTCAGTTGAGTTTGAGGTTCTATGTTGGTCATTCAAGTTCCTCCATACTAAAGTGATCCTACCATGTCTTTATGGAGTTGTTTTTTTTGCACAAGGCCATGGTCATGTTGGAACGGTAAAGGACCACAAGTATGGAAGAGCACAATTGTCTAAAATGTCTTTGTATGCTATAATATTAACAGTACCCTTCACTGGCAACACATACTACAGGCCATAAAGGGTAGGTCTGATGGCCAGGTATTCACAAATATTAGGTTGATAGTGTATGTATGTTGCCGTTTCACATATTGAACATTATTTTCTTAGATGTCATTTAAATAAACAATTATCATAAAGCATACAAAATCTGGTGCAGCTCTGTATAGAAACCAATCAGCTTATAGTTTTTTTTGTCAAAGCGTAATTGAAAAAGCTGAAGCTAGAAGCTGATTGGCTACCACCATGCACAGCTGCAGGGCTGTTGTAATGAATGGGCAGCGCCCAGGGGCCCCAGGTGCATGAGGGCCCCATGATAATCTTTCATTATGTCATACTTGTCAACTGTTCCTGAATTGCCGGGACAGTCATGCTTTTCTCTAAGCTGTCCCAGGATGGCCCAGGCAGCGTCCCAGAACCTGTACTGTGCCCTCTTGTTCCTAGTGCCCTCCTGACTCCTCTGTGTACTGTGCCCTTCTGCTCCCCCCTCCAGTCTTGTGCCCTTTATGTAGATTAGTCTTCGATTTATGGCATTTTTCTTTCTTGATTAAAATACATTTTATTGACAGTACCAATAAATATATGTTTAATTCTATCAACTGTTTATACTTTAATTCTTGAGAGTAGGTGCATAAATTGGGGCAGGCTGGTAGGGGCCACAGTGCATTACTTTGCCCCGGGGCCCATGATGCGTTTAAGCCGTCTCTGCACAGCTGCACTGGATTTTGCACTTTTAGTAATTCAACCTCTATGTCTCATGAAGATAACTATAATTACAAGACAAATGACAAAGGCTTAGACCTATTACACAGCAGGGCTGCAGATACATATACAATATATCACCCAAGCTCTCACCTCATACGGAGTTATATCAAGCTCTTCATAGGTTTATATGGAAAAGGTTAATTTTCTCCAAGAAACAGTAATTAACCTTGCCATTGCAACAAGCCCTCTGATACTTGGGATTCACACTAATTAAAACCCATTGCTCTTTATGGTAACAGTAACAAGAGTATATTATCACCAATTAAATTCTAAATAGGAAC